CCAACAAAACACACCAAAAAACACCCAAACCAAAACCAAACCACATCTTGAAGTTCCATTTAATCATTAAATGAAATGAAGAAAGATATAACACAATGTAACAAACTCCTGATTTTTTAATTTTACCTGATTGCAAACCAAAGCCTTACATCCTGAAATTTGCCATGAAGAAAAAGAGAAACTGTTTCTGGTTTCAGGTATGCAAGTTCATTTACAACACTATAACTATACATAAAGCAAATATAATAAAGCAAAGAAAGTTTTTTTCCAAAGTGAAATTTTGGGGGGTAATGAAGGGGAGGAGATTTGAGGGAACTTTTTCATTGTTTCCCCTCTGTAATCTCTTTAATGAAATTGTTTACCAGAAAATCTTCCATTTAAAGAAGATTGCTGACAGAATTAAATTTTCAGATATTTTCAGAAAAGTATTTTGTAAATATTCCTGATTGATCCATAGCAAATAAACTGAAAATGTATCTTGCAATTGCAAGGTTAATAGTCATAATATTTCCAGCAAATTACATACTAAAGTCTTGAGTTACCAAATCAAATTCAGTGTGCCTAAATTTTCTACCAAGCAAAGTTCTAAAACTGGTCATATATTGTATCCAGAGTCAATTTGAAGGCCCAGTTGGAAGAAACTACCCCAAACATGTACTGAAATGTCATTCACATCAACACTCCCTTGGTTTATGAAAGAAGTCATCATGCAAGAATGAAGTTCCTTCACCTGTTTAAAAAGGCAAATGGCTGGCGTGGTCTCTCGACCTAAGTTTAGCAGTCTGCTCATATGACCTAATTCAGCAGCTAAAAAACATATATTTAGTGAGGGACCAAGTAAAGGAACAAGCTCTGCTTTTCTGGCCATTTGCAGAATTGAAAATTTGACAGTGACTCCCCAGTTAGATGCAGGGACCAGTTTTAAAGTCTCAAGAATTATTGCTATAATCTGTCACATTCAGACAAGACTTTTCATTATAGCCATGGAAACTCTATGATTATTGCTTCCTGGTCAATAAAAGTAGATATTTGAATGCAAACCCAAACTGATTAATCAAAGCCAAAGAGCACTGGTAACACACAAATTCCAGTTTAACACTGAGCAAAAAAATCACTACTTATGATTCTCTTTACTGAGATGACTACACTACACAAATCTTGAATCAAGAAGTCCTTTATTCAGATGGTTCCATGGTCCAATGTTAAACACGAACTCTGTAATCATGGTGTGCATAAAAAATGAATTCTGGGTTGTCCCAATGCTCTGGATGTCTATTCAATCATTTCCAAGGGTGACTTTTTTTCCCTCACAAAGATTTTGAACCAGCATGGAACACTTTCAGTTCTGTAAAAAACTTTTAAGAGTAAGATCATAGTATTGCTTTTATTTAAAGGAAAAGCTGGAACTATGAAGCGTACTGAAAGTCAAATGTCCGTCAGACGAGGAACTAAAACATAATTTTGGGTATTTTTTTTTTTGCACAGTAGTTAAAAAAGATGGTTCATTGTCATATTTCTACAGAAATACATCCAACTCTAGAACCGTGATCAGATAAGCAGGGTAACAAAAGAATTCCCTTCCCTATGCCTTTATAAGCTTCACGCCATTAACTCAGAAACAAAGTAATTTTCTGAGGATTTAACCATCTCAGGCCTTCAGGAAGTCTCAAATCAACTTACACTGCTCTTGACATCTTTCAGTTTTGGCAGGATATCTAGTCCAAACCCATCAGCCTGTCCTCGTGTCCTGTTTCCACCATTCATGTAATTTCCAAAGGCAAGAACCAAACCGAGAACCCGCATAACTCCTGACTCATTTTTCAATGTCTAAAAAACAGAGAAAGAAAAAAATATCTGTTCAAAGTATTAGTAATATTTATGGTAAATGAGCACATTTGTTGATACTGTGTTTAGAAACAATACTTATTTAAAGAGTCAGCTAAAGGGAGTTAACATCCTATTGCAACATGTAGAAGTAGAACAATACTAATATGTAATTTCTTATGAATGGAGAATGTTATCTCCAAAATAGGTACTTAAAAAAACAAAAATAGAAAGTCTATGCAGTTTTACTAGAGATGACCTGTTGAGAAAAACAAAATAGTAATCCTTAACTGTTGCTGACATTCTGAATGGTATATTTAATTTCAGAGAAAATTCATCAAGTAATAAACCGTTCAGATGGAATAATTAGAACATTTAATCAATCAAATAAAAAGTATTACATAATAAACCATAAAATAGAATTGAAAGAATTTAAAGCTATTAAAATACCATTGAAACCTGCATTTTAAAGCCATGTATTTGTTTTGCATTGGACTGCAAAATTCCAGTAATACCTTGACTGGATACAACATTGTTATCTCTAGCTGATTCTAAATATCAGAGATACTACTAAGTTGCACATCTCTCAAACAAGGTTGGCTGCACTGACATTCCTTTCAAAAGGAGTGATATGGTGACTAGGAAGATGGAAAATTTTGCTTTAACAAAAAAGAGAAGGTGCACTGTTTTCCAGAGACTGATACACACTGAAGGCAAAAACACTATATAATTCGGTACCAAAAGCTAATCTTAAAGTTCACTTTGATGTTGAAGAACAATCATAAAATGTTCTATTCTGCTATCCTTCAGTTTTCAAATAAGGGAAAGTAAACAAGGTAAAAATTTTTGAAATATGAGTAAAGCTTAAGAAGATTAAATATCAGATATTTAGATCTTTTTTTCACAGAGAACAACCCACCTCACACAGTTTCTGTAACAATTCAAGTTTGCGACGGATTGAACCAATGCTTTCTGAAAATGTTGATTGGAACAGGATGCAAAACACGCGTTCTGAAAAGTTGGGAATCAGTGAGAGCTCATAGAGGAACCTGTAGAAGTGATTAAAGAAATTTGAGTCACTGTCAGTAGGTGCAGGCTTGGGGGTTTTTTTAGTACATATTTTACTACAGCAGATTAAGTTTTCTGAAGCAAGCAAAACTGCTCTGTATGTATGTTCTTACTGTTCTGGTTTATCCAAACACTTGGCATTTTCTTTATCCTTGGATGCCTTGCTATGCTTTTCTATTTTTTCCAGTTCATCTGATTGTGCTCTCTGAAATAAAGGAAAAAAAAAATATGAAAAATTTTTGTGACGAGTCAAACAACACAGATAAATATGCCCTTATAACAAATCAAATCCATAGACATTTCTTTCTAACATCTGCTTATGGCATAACCATAACAGTCCACAGAGTGATGTTAAGTATAAATAGATCTGAGGGAGAATAGAATGTCTTCCAAATAATAYTATTGACTGCTAGTAGTCTGCAAAATATTTACACATTCAATAATGCACTGAGACAATAATCTTCATCCCTAATTCTTTTGCTCATTTATGGAGTCCTTGAATTGAAGCAGTCAAGAGGAGAGTTGTATTTCTCTTCACAAATTTGCTGGGTTACATTTGAATGTGATCTGATCCTTATGTATGTATTTAAATAATAAATTTTTAAAAAGAAATTAAAATAATTTTGTATTGTTTATTGCAACTTAAGTTTTATTTGGGATTTGGGAAACACTATGGTACAAAACCATATTACATCTATAATGGAACTATTATACATATAATACATGAGAACTACTGCATAATTCGGAGTAAATTATTTTATTTTTATCTTAATAAGCCAAAAAAAATTACATATAAAACTCCTATTTTCTTGAAGAACCCTGTGGCACACTGGGAAGTCTATTTTTCAATATTCCAATCAATAGAAACTGAGCCTCACTTTTTTTCTGTGCTCCGAGCTATGGTAATTTTTTTTTTTCCAAACTGTAGTACTGGAAAATGGAATGGCATGGAAAGGAATAAAAGTGAAATGTAAATTTCTCTATCTGACCTTCTTTTGGCAATCACAGCAGCTTTCAAAAGAGATTCAAATTTTTTTTTTTTTAACTCTGCCCAAGAGTTAAAAAAAAAATAATACTTCCATTCACTTAAGAAAGCATTACACACATTTTTTAACTTTCTCCAGCACATTGCTTGAAGACAACAGTGGAAAAGTAAATTCTAATCATTTAGATAATGTCAGAGCATAAGATATGCTGCATCTGCATTCTCTCTTGAATGCTTTTGCAGAGTTAGCAGGAGAGGGATAGAGCTGTTTCAAATCACAGTGCCTGCTCCATCAGCAGCCTGAAGCCAGAAAGTTGGGTTTGGACACTTTTTCTGAGATTGTTGAACATCTTCCCATGTGAAAAGGGAGAAAATACTGATGCAAAATAAAAAGATGAAGAGACTGAAGAGTCATTTAGTAAAAGCCCTACAGAATTTCTCTTTTTACTTCAAGAAGTCCGGAAATGACAAAGTCACCTGCCTTATGAATGTCACGTATCCTAATATTTAGCCAGTGCTTCTGTGGATGTTCTTCAAAGGTCATTTCTAAAGTTACTTGATCTTATAAATCAAAAATTGAAACAGATTCGAAATATTGCAAAGGGTTTTTTTAAGCGATAAAATTTGTTGTTGACACTAACAAAGTATAATGGTGGTAGCACCTGTACCCAAGATTAATAGAATAGCTGAGGTTTGTAGGGATCCCTGGAGGCTGTCTAAGTGAACACTCTGCCACAAAGCAGAGGCAGCTAGAGAAACTTGCTCAGTATCATGTCCAGCCAGCTTTTGAATATCCCTGAGGATGAAGACCTGACAACTTCTCTAGGCAGCCTGTTCCAATGTTTGGATATGCTTGCAGTTTGAAAAAAAAAAAAAAAAATCTATTTAAATGGAATTTCCAGTGTTTCAAATTCAGGAGGCCCTCTATGTCCTGTCCTTATCTTGGGAATCCCTTAGTTGTACATACTGATAAGACTACTCTGTGCTTTCTCTTTTCCAGACTGAGCAACTCTAGCTGTCTCTCAGCCTCTCCTTGTATAACTCCTCTCCAAGTCTTTAACTATCATCTTTGCTCTTCACTAGACTGGCTCTGATATGTCACTGTCTCACACTGGAGAAGCCACACCTGCATACACAGCATCCTAAATATGGTCCCACTAGTGCTGGACAGGTCACTTCTCACGACCTGATTGGCTCTTCCTTTATCTGCTTGTGCATCATGCCAATATGCTGACAAGATGTTAACAAGAGCTAAGCTGAGGCTAATTTACAAGTTTTTAATTTTAGAATACTGGCAGTGGCCCATTCATAACACTTAGCATCCTGAATTCCCTACCTCTGTTCCACTTCAGTGTGAGGAAAGAAACTTGGGGATTCATCCTCCAAAGGCATTTTTCTATATAAAGTCAAGGCAGGCATAGGACCTGTGAATATAATTACTGCAGTAATTGTTTCTTATGTAATGCTATCCTGAGAAGAAGAATGTTTCCAAGATGCTAGGATCAGAAACTTTAATGCAATTTTAATCCAATTTTAGAATGCTAATCCAGAGACAAAGTTAGAACCAGAAAAGATACAACTAACTGCAGAAGTATTTACTTAAATATTTCATGTGCTATTGAGGAGAAGGCTTGGGTTTTGTTTTGTGTTAAAAAAGCAGATGTAAATGGGACATGTCCACCCTTAATCTAGAACACTCTTACCCAAGAGAGTGATACTTAAGGATTTTAGCTTCTATACTTGTCATGCATCTGTAATCCTGTAATTCTTTAGTGTATAACTCTAGATTCCATATACATTGCTATGATACTGTTCTCCCAGTTTTAGATGAAACAATTCCTCTCTAGGCCTGAAACTCAAAGACACCTTATTTTCTCAGGCCTCAAGATATGTAAACAATAGCGAATTGTGGGGAGCAAACTTAGAGTAAATGACTTCATTACCCAAAGCTATAATTGGAGGATTAACCCCTGAGATGCAAATGGCCATAACTTATAAAGCATGAAAAACCCACAACTGACTGTCCATTTTGGGTAGTCCCTGGGTGAGCTGTGATTGCCCTAAATGTACCTGAAGGCCCTTCAATAAATATAACTGCCTTTTATTTTCTTACTTTTGTCTAGCCTCTGTTTTAGGTAGCCAAATTTAAGCATCAAGGGATATACAATTAAAGAAGTTTTCTTTCACTTGTCAAATCCATAAGAACTCCCTTGGCAACAGGTGAAATCTATGGATTTTAGACACTGGAAGCATACCAAGAAAGGTAGCATTGTTCCAATTGTCACATCATCAGAGACATGGAGGCCCAGGTGTGGAAATGACATGACTGTGTAGGAAGAGCTATTTTATTCACTCAACTTACACCAAAAAACCCCCAAAACTCAATGTATTCAATTTACACTTGTAAATTATTGAGAATAAAAATCAGCTTTTTGTAAAAGTAAACAAGTTCTCATACTAACAATTTAAATTAAATCCCATTATTTCTCACAAGTCTGTAAAGTATGTTCTCTTCTGTTAAACTGAAGGAAAATCACTTGACTTTTTTTCGTAACAGTTAAAGAGAAGTAAATATTTTAGCAAGAAGCATGAAACAAAATGGTTATTTGCAAATATTTTAAAATAAATAGTGAGAGTACTCTCTTTCCTGGCCTTCTATGCATAGTGAAATATTGGAGTACTTATCACAGCAATCTATTACATACATGCATTCTCAAGCTCTTAATGTTTCTTCTCCAAATCCCATGGGCAAAGGTTAGGCAGACTCCCTATTCCTTATTTAAACCATTATTCTCAGATTGTGTATGGAAAGAAGTAACAACTGTCAAAGATACAAAGGCTAAGCATGATCCACACATGGACAGGCCAGAGCAAAACTCAAGAAATATGGTTTACACTATACACCAAAATCAAGAAGTTGAAATATATGGTCTAAATTCAGACTCAAACCTGAATTTCAAGTCACTCACTCCGGCTCAGGTATCCAGAATTCTGATCTGATGGATACTTTTAACTTACGACAGAAAAGGAATGTTGTATCTTTTGAACAAGTATTATTGAAGAAAATTTCTCAGAATTTTTACCAGCTTTCTTTATGGTTACCGACTATTTCTTCTCTAATTTACAGAGGGATAATTAAAAAAAAAAAAAAAACCTTTTATATGGCTCTCCAGGTTTGTGTCAAGACAGAACACATTCAATAGATATTTCTCACAGAAGTCATTAGTCTGACTGCATTAACACCTCTTTGAATGCCACTCTATTTCTTTCCTTGAATTTTAGCTATATGGAGCTACATAGCATCAAAACCGGAAAAAAATAGCACAGTATACCAGAATTTGGTATTAACTATATATAAAACCAGACAGCATAAATCTGACAGAAACTACTGCAAAAATATTCTGCTTCAGTTTATTTCTTTTCCTATTTTTTTCTACAGTATGAATTTAGCCTGTGTTTGGTCTTACCAAAGATCATAATGGCCCCTTTTCTATCTCACAACATAAATGTTATAAATTTCCTGGTTAGATCTTTTTCCTTGCAACTGAACCTTACCTCTGAGTTTAGATCAGTTGAAGGGTATGTAATTTTATTTTTTTGCAAATTTGACTTTAAAAGTTTATATTATATATTTCAAAAACATCAAGTGACTTGTCTAAGTAATTTTGTCAACAATAGCTGAAACAACAAGGACATACAGAGATATCCTAGTTAATAATAAAAAAATCATATTCTTTTGAAGCTGGATCATCAGAACTCTAGTACAATTTATAATCTTTGCCAAAAAATATTAAGACCTAATTTAAAAAAAAATCCTAAGAAATAATTGAAGAGAAGGATTGAATCTTAGTGGCAGTGAAGAGTCATGCATTTCAGACTTCTGGATGCCTTTCACTCCTTCAAAGCCACTTCCAGGTTTTTGAAAGCATTGACCTAAGTCTCTTAAAGATAAAGGCAGTGTGGACAATTTACTGGGTACCTAATTATGAAAGTATACATGTATCCTTTGTGATGTAAAAAGATTTGAAGAGGCCAAATCCATAGATGAAAGACAATAATTTGACAGTATTTTTAATCTGTTTGTATATTATTATTTTCATGACATAGTGAAGACGCAAGCAGAAGCAGACATACCTCCTTTAAGTGATACTTTAGCTACTACTCCAGTGCTAAGAGGCAATCAGTTTTCCAAGTAAACATTCACTTATTTGCCAATTAGTACATTTCTAATCACAACCAGTATGTCCTAACGCCATACAGAAGCTTGAATTAATATTACCTGCCTTCTCCCTCCCTAATTATAGCTGTTGCCTGGTAGCATTATTAGTTTGTAAAAGCACATTAAAGGAAGTGTTACACATGTAGTTTTATTTGTTAAGGGTCTCTTACTAAAATTGTCTAGATCTTAATACATAACTAATTATCAACAGGCATTTAAACAACTCTTCACAAAGCAAGCTACACAACGAGACGTAAGAGATATATGTATGCACTGTACAATGCTGAAGTAACAGCACTTCTCACTTAATGCAATTCAACTTAATAGTATTTAAATTATTGTGGGCTTGGTCTTAGGTGGGGTGTGGGCTTCTTTGTTCATAAAAAGTCACAAAGATATACACAGTAACTCTGTGGTTTAACAAGAGTTTAATTTCTCAGTAAACAGGAATTGTACCCTCGAGTCTGGGGCTTTTGAAATTAGGGTGTGTTTGGGTTTGGAGACTACCCAAATTTCATTCACATTTAAGAAGGGAAAGCACTATGCCAGACACATGCAATCAGAAAAAATTATTACATTCTGAAGGAAGACTGTAAAAAAAATGCTCCCGTGTGTTTCACACAGATCAAATAGAAAGACTGAGTACTAGAACAGTGGTATTTAAATATCCAGAAAAAAAACCCCTCAATCCAATAAATAAACCCTAAGAACTAAAAATTAAGTTAATGGCTACAAAGTAAACAAATGCTGCAAAGGTATTCCCACTTACAACACAGGATGAGATTGAGAAATAAGGGAGGAGTCAAACATGCCAGGCTCTCTGGTACGACCCATTGCTTACAACTGTCATTGAACAATATTTTTTATAATTAGTGAAGCTAGCAAGGGAAGAAAATGCAAGATCTGTTTTGACAAAAAGCTGAAAGGAAAAAAAAAAGAAAACTAAATAGAAAGCTTCTTTCAAGATGCAGTTCTATCAAACAGAAGTGCTGGATTAAAATTCAGGTCCCCTTATAAAACCGTCTCTAAGTAAACTGAGGGCTTTTCTTTTTCTTTGTTTGGATTTCGTTTGGGTTTTTTGGTTGTGGTTTTGGTTTTTTTCTCTGTCTTTTACCTGAGCAAATATAATAAAGTTGGACTGATCTGTTTTCTATTCAAAGCAAAGAAATATATTAGACATTCGAAAAATTTGAGTTTTTCTTGAAATTAAGGTATGGTATGTTCCTCAATCAGGACTTTTCCTAGACATTTTCTTTAATAAGTGAAAATAATTACAAAATGAATAGAATGACAATTGCTTATTTCAATGAACTGCAAATTTGCAAATAACCCATTAAATTAGGATTCTGAAGTGTATTAGAGATGACATTACGTAAATGTTTGAAAATTATTATAGAGTATCAACATAGGAGGAATATTTTTTAACCAAAATTTGAAAAAAAACCCAACCATATTCACTGTAAAGAGAGGGAGGTATGCAATAATGGTTATGACTGCAGTATCTATTACATACTTCCCACAAGTAGAATCTCTCACATTCACACATATGTAACAAATAAAAAGAATTCATTTTTTGTATGTTAAAATCTGTATGGAATGGCATATAAACATGCTATATAATGGAGCAGATTAAAAATAACGTCCAATAAAATACCATAGGCCAAACCAGAAATGCTGTGGTGCAAAGAAGAAAAGCATCTATAGATTGCTGAACAGGTTTCCCTTTTGACCATTATATCCCTGAGCAGTGTTGAGCAACCTAGTTCTTCAGGGACAAAAATTCCTTTCTAATTCTTCTTCAGATTTTTGGGGTTTTTTTTTCTGTTTTGTTTAGCTTCTCAGTTTTTCTGTAAAGTGGAGTAGAGATTACTCACTATATCTCTTTTTGTCCCCTGGAGTGGATTATTTATGAGGAATTTCATAAATCATCAAATCATTTTAAAGTGGGTGACTAAAAGCTAAAGTCTAAAAACCAAACATCTGAAAGGTATAAAATTAATTAATATTATCAAAACTATGGCATGAGGGAAGTAGAGGATCCATACAATAGCATACATAGGCACTCAATGCCATTCTGTGGCTCACAGCTATGTCTCATATGTTCAGAAGTTTTGGAGAGCAAATAAAAAGTCTCCTCACTCTTTCCAGAGATGTCTAGGCAAACCTTCACATATACAGGCAATGCACTCACAGAAAGAGGCAATGTTCACTGGCCTCAGCAGAAGGCAGAAACACGCTTCCAAGTTGCATGAGTTCGAATTTTTTTATGTGACTGGCTTTGTGAAGTTTTAGAACATGCCTGAGCATATTATGAATCCTTGATTTTACACAGAGAGAGGTCTAATCTCTCTGATTGTTACTACCAGACATTTATTAAGCCCCTGGAAGCTTATACTACTTTTTATTACATTACCTTAGAGAAATTATTTTCCTGTCAAAGGGTTAAAATTCTTTTGGAGGAATCCCGGAATAATAAAATAATGAAATGCTAGTTCCACAAATAGAATGGTTTCTGTTACATATATATTTTTTTTTTCTTAATGGAACAGTATTTTTATATTAATGAAATTACAAAGTTAAATTAAAGATGTGGAGTGTAAGGTCTGATACCTATAGATCAAAGACTGCCCCACCCAAGGAGAAAAAACACGAGCAAAACTAATTTCCATTTAGCCAATTACAAGTTGACCATATTATTTATGTAGAAATGCATGCACTACATAAAACACACAGTGGCAATTAATGCAATTTAAATACTTAGTATTTTCATTGCTTTGGAGAAAATAGTCACTTCAAAAGAGGACTTGGTCTACAAGCCTTCTGAATATTACTGATGCCAAGTGAAAATACCTTCACATGGACACAGTGTTCCTACATTTTATGGTCTTCCTCTGATTACTCACATTCTCATACAGGGCTTGCAGAGTCTCTAGGTCGACCACAGAGTTGTCCAAGTTCACAACAGCTATTAAAAAAAAAAAAAAAAAATTAGTTGTTCAGGATGATAATCCAGCTGTGAAAGAAAGACTGGTCATAATACTCAGCAACAGTTTTTATGACCCACTGGTCATATAGCTTAAGGTTTTTAACTTTATTAATGCCTTGAATAGCGCTGATTCTAAGAGTATGGTTGGAAACCTGGTAGAGCCAGGTGTCAAATGTTAAAGAATTCATCTCCCTTCCCCCAAACATACAAACATGATCCCATGAGTATGGCCATAGTCAGAGATCAGAGATAAGCTTTACATCAGACTTTCATGGTCCAGCTGAAAGCATTATAAAAATTTGTAAATCTGCACCACAGCCACACACACAACACAATAAAGCTCATTTCTGTCACTGGTTGACTTCAGTCTTAAACTCATTAATCCATAAGTCAGCCAGTTAACTTCAAAACACCTGACAAGGGTCAAGTCTTCTATGCACTAAGCCGACACGCTTAGTATGGATACAAAATATGCCTTTCCTGTTCCCAACCAATTCTGGCGCCACACACATGCTGCATTTTTTTCAGCATCAAAAAAAAAAAAAACCTGCAGCGAAACAATGCAAAGAGAATGATTTCTACCTACCTAACCTAGATTAAAAAAAAAAAAAAAATCATTAAGACACCCTGACTCCCCACTTGTTTTAGGAACATTTCACAAGGCACTGGGAAGCACAAGGAAAACATTCTCAGTTAATGCAAAGATTATTTTTCAAATAGTGCTTTTCAGCCTTCCTCTTACATATTTTTGCAATATGCAAATTGCAATTTTGCACTCTGATCATTAATTTAAAAGCAAGAAAAATTCAATTTTTGACATCTAGATTTTAAATCTCGTAATTTAGAATGTTGTATCAGAATATATGAATAAATAATTAATAATTTTTTATTATGTTCTACCTGTCTTTCCTACTTTGCAGTTCATTAATTTGTACCCTTTTTTTGTAATGGGCTTTGTGTGTGTGTGTGTGTGCGCTGTTGCACAATAAGCTAAATAATTCCCCAGGTGAGATTAATCTAGAAACTGCAGCATTGATCAGAGATAGAAACCCTGCACTGCATTACCTTTTTTCCTATAAATCCTTGTCCTTAGCTGTCACAGAGAAATTGTGTATACATCTAAAGACTACAGAATATAATTCAAGCTCGTGTGTTTCTGATTGCTCTAAAGCATCTAGAGATACCACTCTTGAGTCTGGGACTCATCATGTCTCTCCTTTCCAGGCCTGAGACATAGTTTTAGTTGCTGTATAAGAAAATTGTAAACAAAAAAGTGTTGATCTTGATTAAACTAAGCAGGCTATCTCTAAGCAGGCCACAAAGCTAACTTTTAGGACCAAAAAAATAWTTTTTTTTTTCAGAAATAATATATTGTTCTGTTTTTCTCTTATCAGCAAATAATGCAAATGTTACAGTTAACAGTTCAGAAAGCAACATGTTTTTTGGGTTTTTTTGGGGGGGAGGGGGCACATGCAAAAAGCTGCTACTAATTATTTGGGATATTTTTAAACTTTCCACCCCCTTCCAAGTGTAATAATTGTTGCAACAGAGACTTAAAGATGCCCTCTACATAAAGCATTGTATTATACATTGTATTTAATAGTCCTTGCTGCTCAATAAGATTTTCTGTATGCTTAAAAACACACCAAATTTTTCTGGTAGATCTGGACACTAAAATTACCATGCAAATAGAAAGTGGGTCTAGATTGGTTTGAGAGTTCTGCTTTAAGAAAACACTAACATCAAGTCCTATATACAAACATCTTTGTTAAACCCAGAACATATTATGAAACTCAGTTTATATTATCCAACATTTCAGCACTTTCATGCTTAGGCAATTTTTTCATACATGGACACACTCACAACACTTCAACTATTTGTTTTGAGTTGGGGCTGTCTTCTCTCTACTCCACCCCCATCCCCTTCCTTCCAGGGACCGTCTGCTCCTGCACTGAGAAATTTAACACAAGTTCTTGCCCTGCCTTTTGCTCAATGTTAAGATCACTCACGGATCACTCAGGGAGCAATAGAACACTTTTGTTTGAATGCTTGAAGGAGATAAGAGAGCACCTGGCAAACACAATGGTGCCAGGTCTGTGTGCTTTCAACAAAACAGGTATGCAGAAGAGTGTACATACTTCAGGGAGCTGCTTAAAACAAATCAGTCTGAGACAAGGACATGGAGAAGTTAAATCCTAGGATGTATCCTTCAAGTCTCCTCCTTCAACGAGAAATATATTTCTATATGTTTCATGTAAACCTGCATATGTTAATAAATAGCACTCCAGCATCTCACTAGGATTTTTCCATGTTCGCCATGGGTCCGCTACCTGCACTTGAGGAGTCAGGATATGACTTCTATTCTTTGGTAAACCTGCATCATTCTCATACAGAACATGATAGCTGGAAAAATAAATGAGAATTATTGCATATTTAATTCCATTATCTAGACAATTTGAATTGAAAAAAACGATGTTTCTTTATGTAGCCAAGCTGACTAGCTAAACACGCACGCTATAATCAGCGTGACTACGCAAATATCTAACCAAAGGATTCCATATGTGGTGGCAACATAATGATGAAACACAGACAAAGATTAATTTCCTCATATGAATATATTTTTAGCCATGCTGCAATTCCAGTGTACTTTGATGCAAACAACTGGAGAAGGGTTTGTATTAATCTTCCAGTTGCTGGATATTTTCACCCATGTCACTACTTTAGAAAGTGATTTTTTTTTTTGTTTCAAATTTGACATTGACATTTCCTGGCAATGAATATTATGAAAGTGAAGAATTGGCTTTTGCTCTAATAAAAACTTTCTTTTAATTACATCAGATCCAGGCATTTAATTCTTACTGTCAAGATTTCATAGTTTTGTTATTTTCTTGCATTCCTGTTGTCACTGCTGCAAATAAAACCAGCATCAGTTTCAAGCCCTAACACTGTAAAATTATTTGAAGTACATATATATATAATTGTGTCTATATATAAATACATATATACGATTAAACCAAATTTGAACCAAGTATGCCCAGATACACATAGAAAAAAATTAAAGGATTTACAAGCCAACAATTCCTTCTTCTATTTATGCAAGCCATGATCAAAAGGTGATTACAAAAAGATCCACCCAGTAAAATGAGGGGTTGAGGATCAATCACAAATGATTACTTGATACTATAGAGGGCAGAGAAGAAGAAATTTCAAATTAAAGGGTTTGGGAAACTTTTGTTGCTCCTCAGCTTTCCTGMTACTGTCACTGTTTTGGTCAGAATCTAAATGGAAATCTAAACTGGTATCTTTGGAACAGAAATTATATTTTATTATCTGACTACAGAATATGGAAGTTTTAGCAGAATAGAAGAGTTTCCTTTCAATTCTTCATTTCTACAATATGAAGAAAAAATACGTCTACAAACTCACATTAGAAAACCCAATTTAGACACTAGTTTGAAGCCAGAAAGACCAAAAAAGTCCAACAAACCAAAGCATGCAGATATAAAAAGATTAACTATTCTTATATTAATATCAATTAATTTCCAAATGGAGAAGATACTTCCCCTGGAGGGAAGATATGGTGCTGGTAAAAAAGTGAGATTAGTGCACACAATCATGTCCAGAGGCAAATTTGAGCTGAGAACTGGTAGGCCTCCTTCCGTATATATGGAACACAAGTTAGAACAGAGACAAAATTAGAAAAATAACCACAAAAATAACAACATAACTAAACACAAANAAAAAAAAAAAAACCCACAATAAATTATCATCACCCTTAGGTCTTGAGGGGAAGACCGTAACAAGAAGATAAAAATTTCTCTTACATTTCCTCTTCAGAATTACATTCACTGGCAAAAACACCATCAGCAAGAGGCTGCAGAATGCCCAGTGTATTGTCAGGAAGATTATGAAAGGAAATAGCTGTACTTTTTTCTTTGTTAGATCATAACTCCTATTATTCAAATATCCTGTGAACTACCAGCTACAACTAAACCAAAGCTAGTAGGCAACACAGACACAGCTAACCTGGTTATGAATCTAAACCCACCAACAGTACCACTTACATAAACTGTAAGAGAAAAGAAACCTTCTCACAGCTACCCAGTCCTTGGAAACTTTCTTTGTTTCAAAGTCCAAAATTTCAGAATTTCCTTTTAAAATGAAAAGGCCAAAATTCAGTTTCCCACTGAGTAGAATTTCAGAAAGAAGAAGTGCTATAAACCAGATCCTTTGGAACCAGCTTCTGTGTCATAAAAATCTCATTAACACAATCACATATGGATGATTTTCAGAAAATTGGTATTCAGTTGAATTCTTGGTCTTAGCCTTCCCTTTTCTCAGGGCAGCTTTCAAATCACACTCCATTTCTATGGCCTTTCCAAATATTCTTCCTAAGCCTTTCTGTCTCTGGGCTCTATCTAAAATTAAGTGTCTCCTTCCTTTCTCCTGGAAGCACAACTGTCTCCCAAAAAATTGACTAAGCATTTTCCAAACCCTACTTGACTGATAACAGATTACAGTTTAAATCCATATAAAGAAGCAGTAGCTGAAGTAAAACCACCTCTGAACCTGTCCTGCCCTACCCAGATCCATCCTTCAGGGAGACAAGTAAACCACCCATCCACCACCAGTAAACCAAACCACCTATCATCTTCTTGCTGATTTCCACCTCAACTGACATCTCTGTGACTCTGGAAAAACCAAGCAGTATTGCTCCAAGAGGCCACTTTCCTCCTGCACATCTTTGCCTCTTCACTTTCACATCTGCTCTCTTTCTTCAGAAAAGCATCAGGAATTTCTGCAGATTGATTTTTCTTCACCGAGTGAAGGACCTCCCACTTCTGCAGCAACTAACCACAGTGCTCTTAGCACATAGCTCTGTGTGTGGCACAGATCTGGGGTTTTCACAGCTGTCATACCCTTTGTGAGATTCTAACATGAAAGATTACAGGATGCTGAGAGGCTACAACCTCCATGGT